ACACTTATAAGCTGGGAAACTCCCTTCTTGAGAGCACAGAGGCAGAAAGGGATCTTGGAGTCATCATTGACTCCAAGATGAACATGGGCCGACAATGTGAGGTCACGGTCAGCAGGGCCAACTGGACACTATCGTGCATCCACAGGTGCATCTCAAGTAGGACCAAAGAGGTGAGCCTCCCTCTGTACGCAACACTGGTCAGGCCACAGCTGGAGTACTGTGTCCAGTTCTGGGCACCCCACTTCAAGAGGGATGTGGACAACATTGACAGGGTCCAGAAGAGGGCCACCCGCATGATCCAGGGACAGCAAGGCAGACCCTACAATGAGAGACTACGGGACCTGAACCTGTTCAGCCTTCACAAAAGAAGGCTGAGGGGGGACCTGGTGACTGTCTATAAACTCACTAGGGGGGACCAGAAGGGTTTGGGGGAGACCTTGTTTCCCCTAGCGCCCCCCGGGATAACAAGGAATAATGGCCACAAGTTGTTGGAGAGTAGGTTTAGATTAGACATCCGTAGGAACTACTTCACAGTTAGGGCGGCTAGGATCTGGAACCAACTTCCAAGGGAAGTGGTGCTGGCTCCTACCCTGGGGATCTTTAAGAAGCAGCTCGATTCCTGCCTGGCTGGGGTCACTTGAGCCCAGTTTCCCTCCTGCCCAGGCAGGGGGTCGGACTTGAAGATCTACAAGGTCCCTTCCGACCCTACTTCTATGATATGCATCCACTCCAAGACCCATGGGAAGCACTGCAGGCCAGGTGATAGATAGGGCTCTGTAGGCTGAATCCAGCACTCAGGCTGTTGTCTTTTGACACCCCTGGCTTGATGCATGAATAATGCAAGTCTTTATAATTGCTGTAAAATAAAGGCATCTGTAATGCACATGCACAAGAGCATTCTTTACTGATCTACAGTCTCACAGACAACTTTCATTACCACTTATGTGAAAGGTATTGATAAGTCAGTGCCAGCTGTGAAGCTATTGGCAGCATTCTAGAATCAGACTGTAAAAATGATCTCCCTTTTCTCCTTCATGCAGGTTTTTACATCTACCCACTTGGGGCAACTTGGATGTCCAGTTTCATAACTGGGGAAATGTCTCATAACTGGCCTTCCTACTGGCCATCTGTCACTGTTGTTGTTAATGGGCACTTTAACTGAACATACAGGGATGGGTTGACTGTGAAAATCAAAAGCAGGGAACTTCACAAACATAATCAAATCCTCTGAAATGTGAAACTCAAAGCATCCATAAAAGCCCAAACTGTGCATTTTCAGTCACTGAATGAACTGCAGGAGGTAAGAGAATTGTCATTGTCATTCTTAGCTGCACACTGTCAGGCCTAAAATTAAGCCTTCAGTTTGGTAAACATTACTTCCTCTTCTAGGGACCTTTTCTGTTGTTGAATATTTTGCTTCTGAAGCAATTCAAGACTATTGGAAGGTGCTATCTGCCCGTTAAATAAATGTAAAAGAGTGAGCTTTTGCTGAATTCATCTTAAATCTGACCTCTTATATACTAAAAACTGCCTAGTTACTTAGGAGCAGGGGTTGAAATTTGCTACTGTTCAGTCAGTTCTGATGGGGGAAGGTCATTTTGAATAGCTTGCAAACATGCTTATGATGAAAGGATTGCATTATTTTCTATTCTGCTATAGACCTTACATCCTGTTGCCAATGGTTTGGAGGCTTTGAGGCTTTATAGGTTGCAACTTAAGTCTCATACCACTAGGTGCTAGCCTTTCTCTATTTTACAGAAATCTACTTTACAAAGAAAGTAGTTTTAAGTTAAAAACTAATCTTGATTCCCAGTCTTTGTGCTATTTGAACACAATATTTAGATTTTGGGCTTTTTAGTTGATGACTGTTTGGGGGGAGAGCATGAGGGAAACATCCTTTTCAGCTCTGATACATTCACATGGGTGGGGGGACGGGACTCAGCAGTGAACCACTAGCCCAGAAATACTTGCATGCCTTCTTTCGAGTACCTGTTACTCTTTCGGAAGTGGCAAGTTGGTGGGACCGCAAAAGTACACTGACATAGTTAGCAATAAAGCCCAGGCTGTCCATGAGACCAGCTCTTTTCAAAAAGGAGATGCCTATTTTCTCCTCATCCGACTTTTTGTTCCACATGCAACATCTTTCAATGCTGCATCCACTAATACTTACTGGGGTGTCCTACATTAAATGAAACGAGGCTAAAAAACCCCAGAGATTACATTAGTGTTATGCAAATGAATGACTGAGATGATAAGGAAATAGTCAACAGTTATCTGGAAGGCTCTCCTGTCTGCGAAGTTTCTGGGGACCAAATATATTTAAGGGTATCAGACTGCATCTAGGAGAATTTAATGTGGGGGAGGGAGAGGGAAGGGGAAATCTCCCTTTTTTTATTGACAGGTTCCAGCCTTGTACCTGCTCTGAAACCAGGGGTGGGATGAGCTATTCTGCACCACTGACTAAGAGTATATTAAAAACCCCTTAATTTGCACAGATACACGGGAAAACCCTTCATGTCTAGCATCATAACTAATTCAGAGAAAAGAAATAAAGGTCTTCATCACTGCCTTCTGCTTCGCCTGCCTGTCACTACTCTTGTGAGAAGCAAAACTGCTCAGACGGAGGCAGCTTCCAGCTTTCTGGGACAGAGTGGGCAAAAAATAAAATCCTGATGCCAAAGGAAAAGCAGGGTGGGGGGAAAAGCTGGTCAAATCCTTTTGGGGGGCAATGCTTTTAAGGAGCCCTGGCTTGAAGTTTGCCTGTCTAGCACCAGGCATGGCGGGGCGGGTGCACTTAGGAGCACACAGGGAGGCGCCGCTTCGCTGGCATGCTTGGTCCAGGGCTGTGGGGTGGGGGAGCCTGCCCAACACCAGGGCAAGGTCCAAGGTGGGCCCTGCTGGGGGCTGCGCCCTGGCAGGATTGTCTCACACCAGTGCTCTGTATCCCCCTCTGGGGATGGATGTGTTAGCTTGTGAAACCTTCACGAGGCTCCCTCAGCTGACAGAGGTGCCTGCTTGTGTGCAGGGAGGTGGTGGGTCTCTAAACAGCTGCGGTGTAAATCGGTGTCCCTGAGTCCCCCTAGGGGCTATGGTGGGGGGAAGATGCCTGAAGGCCATTGGGACCCAGGGGCAGGTTTGTCCCCTGCTGCCCGGCTCGGCTCTGAGGGGAGGTGCGGAGGGCTCGGGTGGTAGCCGGAAGCAGGAGGAACCGGAGCCTGAATTCGGAGTGAAGCGGACACCCCCGCCACGTCCCCCCACCAGGCGGGCGCCGTGTGGCAGCCCCGGGACACGAGACCCCCGCCCCGTCCCCTCAGAGCTGGCACGTGGCGGGGACCCATGGAGCGCGCGCGCCTCGCGCTGCCCCCCCCAACCCGCTTCCACTCGGCGGCTCGCGGGCGGGGCGGCCCCTA